GTGCTTGGCCCAATCATTCTGTTGATTAGCTGGCAGTTCTGCTTGGAGAAAGGGAATTTCACTTAACTCAAGCCTTTTCAAGTTTGGGCAATAGAGCAAGAAAATTGAGACAGGGAAACTTGGATACCTGTAGACATTCCTTCCAGAATCAATATATGCTGATATTATAACTTTGTATGTTAATTTGCATGTATGTTATGATAATATAATCCAGCTCTACATTTTGTGAATTAAGAAAAGTGTCTGACTGCTTTGATTTTTGTTTCAGAGTCTGGTTGAGTGCCATCCATCAGGAATAAACACACACACTGCTTTGAGTATACCAGACCATGTATCAAAGGAGGCCAGATCATTGATTCAACAGGTAATTTGGTGGAAATTTTGTTTTTTATAGGTAAGCATGCAATCAAATACTTATCCACCTGAGCTGTTGCGATGAAATAAATGTAATAACAGAAAACTACTGATAGAGGTATGAATGGGTGTCTTGTCAGTGCAAAGAATTTTGCCAAACAGGATTGTTGCATGTGGAAGCACTGACCTCTGTTGGGTGTCTCTCTAGGAAACTAGTGTGTTTTATTATTTCTTCAAAAGAGAACAAGTGTGGACAATGCTGAGTGCTTTGGGAACACCTGCTGGTGCTCTATGGCCATTTTAGGAATTCTACCTTATATGATCATGGGAATATTTGTGATGAAATAAATTAAATTGAGGAACATTGAAGCTGATTCAACAAGATAGCAATAGGTGCTCTGAAACTTATAATGTACTTCTTGGAAGTTATGGCCTTCCTGTGTTTGAAAATCTATTGCTGTCCTCGAGGAAACTTCTGATTTCCAATTTTGAGGAAAAGTGATTTTAGTTGTGAAAAATCTGACTTTTGTGATAGGATAACTCATAGGTTGGAAGAAAGAGCAGGGGCTACTTTATAGTATAGTCACTCTTCCACACTGATATGCCTTGTATTTTCAATTTTAAAAGAAAGAGCAAAGAGTGTTGACTGCTATTTTTGGTTTACTGCTTTAGGTAGTCATGACTGAGAGAATAAACTTGTACATACAGAGTGTCTTGAATTTCAAGTAATGCAATCTTCCCTCCTACAGTTAACTGAGGAAGTGAAGCCTGGGAACCTATTCTACTTGAGCAGAATAAGTGGTATATGTGAGCTCTGCTGTTTGAATGAAGCGTATCTGGTGAATGGAAATAATGCCATCACTTAGATCTAGATCTGAACAGAGCAGAGTGAACAAACAGTTATTGAAGAAAATCAAGCAAAGGGGTTTTGGAAATCCAGCAAGTCAAAAGATCCAGTGACAGATTGACTTCTCTGCCTTTACTGTGAAACAGAGGGTGGAAATGGAGCTAGGCGTTTGGACTATCTATTTTGATAAGATGCCTGAGGGAAGCAACTAAGGAAAGGCCCCATTTTTGTATAATCTGCATTTATTTTATTAGATAGCAGCTAGTGTTTGCCCTTGCCCACAGATGATACATGGCTGAAATGGATAAGGCAGAGCCAAGGCCCATTTGGTGAGGAGAATTCCTGCCTTCTACTTCTGAACCTGAAGACAAACGAAGTCTTCTAGTCCATCTCTCCCTGCTGCTACAGGACTGTCCTCCACTGCAGATTATGTGTTGTTGCTTTTCAAATTAGCCCATGTGGTCCCTTTGCCACTTAACGTTTAAAGGATGTGTTACAAAGCTGTGTCTGTTCAGAGAACAGTGACATCAGTGCCCATTAGGTTAAGCCTTCTAATATAGGCTGGTGACTTACCAGGTGGAGGTTCAGCTATATGAGCTAGTAAATCACGTTTCTGTTGTGTGACCATCCAAGGAAGCTGCCATTCACTACTGAGGAAGCCTTGTCAGGAAAAGGAAGAAAGCTCTCTTGGCATGGTTAGCAATTTGTCATTGCGACTTTCCTTCCCCCCCTGCCAAGGGTAAACAGGTCAAAGCATCACTGAATAACTCTCAGGGATCACCATTCAGCTATACAGAGTACTGTCAGGCAGCATCACGTCCAGTGCAGGTGACTACGTTGTAAACACCTCCTTTGCAGAGCTAACTTGGAGTTAAATGACAGTTCTTTGTTGGAAAGATAAAGTTGTTGCTTTATGTTGAGTTAGTATTTTGCACCCAAGAGGTTTTTTTCAGGTACTCCCAGGTTAACTACCAACAAAGTTTGCAGTATTGGTTTTAAATAAATATCTACTGCAGTTGGTGATGCATCTGCTTTCTAAGATTGAAGTTCTCCTGGAAGGAAGAACTTCAGTAAACAAATATCTCTGCATACTTTCCACCTGTCAGCACTTATTATATTTCAGGAGAAGGTGAAGAGGCAGTGGCTGCATCTGTTTCTCCTGCAAAGTGAGGAAACTCTGAGGAAACTCAGAGCAGTACTTTTCGCTATTACCGAGTTACCTTTACTGTGTGATGTTATGATTGCAGATGCCAAAGCCATTGTGAAATGTGTAAATTCGTATATTTATGGATGTCTGCTTACTTAGATGTTGGGTGCATTAAGATATGAATACACATTGTTATTCCTTGTGACAACTGGAAGAAGTTATCCTATTAGCTGTTGCAGAAAAAAAAAAGAAAAGAAAAAAAGAAAAGAAATTGGGTCTTTGTAGTGGGTGCAATTGAGCAGAGTACAAACAATGCTCCAAAAGTGCAAGATATCTTCATATGTCTTTATTAGTCTCTTTGGAGTGTTGCCTTTGCATACCCTTTTATATGGATTATTTTTAAACAGATATAAATATTGTGATGTCCTTTTCACATGAATTCAGCATGTGATGCACAACTAAGAAGCAAATGCAGTGCTGAATTTTATGAAATTTCTATTAAGCCATCACACTTGTTTCATTGGGATTTTGATTTTTCAGTTTGAATCACTTTGTGGAACTCTTTAAAAACTTTCTTAGGAAATAGAGAACTGGCCATCATATTGTGGTATTTTAGGAGCAACTCGGAAGGATCATGAAACTTATGAAACGGAAAGTTACAGACCATTGTCCCTGATGTCACCTTATCACAGCAGTGTGAGCAAAGGTTAACATGAAGCAAATGCCATGTCCAGAGTGCTGTGGATGCAGGCTGTGGCTGCTCTTCTCTTTTTAAAATGAGGTTACAGTTAAAATGAAGTCCCAACGTGCAGTCCTTCAGGGTATTGCATGCTGTGATCAGTGGTCTCTGAAGACTGTAATGCTGAGACTCAAGGAAAAGAGAGTTGGATTTTAGGAATTTCAAGTATGCTTCACACTCTTGAAAGTAACTCACAGAGCAGGAAAACAGTAGGATGTCCCTTACCTTAGACCTTTCTGGAACTTTTAAGCAGTTGTTTTTGTTCTTACTCACTGAATCATATATTTTTTCTTTTTATGTCAAGCTTTTGCAGTTCAATCCTGCGGAGCGTCTTGGTGCTGGCGTTGCTGGTGTTGAAGACATCAAATCTCATCCATTTTTTGCCCTTATAGAATGGGCAGATCTGCTGCGATGAGATGTTGCCCTTTGAACAAACTCAGGTCAAGCGGACAAGTTTCTCTGCACAGAAGCACCCTGACTTGCTTCCCTAAGATGTCCCCAGTCACTTGGACATGATGACTAAAGGACGCTGGAGTAATCATGCCAAAAGTGAACCCTCTGAACAGGAATCACTGGTTATGCAGGGTGCTAGTTTATTTTTACTGCAACTGGCTGTTGTGTGTTTGTGTAAACCTTTTCACCAAAGGATGGTTTGTGATGAAACTGCTGGGTAGCTGTTTAGCACTGCTAGCGTGTCGACTAAGTAGGAACAGGGGTGCACTCCTGGTGCTTTGTCTGATGACGGAAATATCTAGAGTGTGCCAGTTGAAAGCATCTTTTACAGTGTCAATAGACGATTTCCCTATGCTAAGTGCAGCTGTGGGGGGTGGGAGGAAGGAACAAATAATTTATTAATGGTATATGCTGAATAAAATACTAAAATGCTTTATGTGAAATTTGACACATAAAAAATAGTATATCCATTAAAAATTAAGAAAGCTGTTGCATAATATTGTGGAATGCTTCTTGAAAATGGCATATCTTTTCAAATTGTGGAAAGAGCATATAAAAAGCAAACAGTCCTGTCAGCTGTTGTACTTTGTTGGCTGGCAATGTCTCTTTAGAAGTCTTGACTCTGTTATATTGGATGAGTTGTGTGTCAAAGTCACTACACAAAGGGAAATCTTTTTTTCCTCAGCCACATAAGTATCGTTTCAGCAACCTAAAAAGGACCAAGAAAACACAATGCTAAATAAATGCGTGGATTAAAAAGGAAAAAACTCTTCTCATTATTGCAACCACCACTTTATTATTTAATGAACTTTACTTCCTCTAAGTGTCTTCTTTTTATGAAAGCAGCTTTGCTGCTCATACGCTTCTGCTTGAGGAACCTCCTGAATTGTTCTGTTTGTTGCTCAATATTCTTGATAAATAAGAGTCTTTACTCTCTTTGCTGCACTACAAGCCGGAAGAAGCCAGGGATTTGTTCAGGCCTAAGTGACATCTCTGAGCAAACCCTTGTGGGTACGACTTGGGAGCGAGCCAGCTATCTGGCCTCTTTGTTTGTTAGCAAGGTCTGAAGAGAATGGGAGACGAATATCAGACGAATAAGAAGCATATTTTTGCTGTACACAGCTGTTGCTGCTAACTTGCTTGTATGGGTTCCTGATGTGTGCACAAACAGTGTGTGCTGCGATGCTCGTACAGATTATGGATATGTGTTCTTTCCTAAATATTCCCTTGTCTCTCTCTTGCTTTTTTTCTTCTACCCAGCTTTATCCGGAGAACAAAGGGCAGATTCCTTTGGGAAAGTGAGGTGACAGCCATGATTATTAAATTTACAACTCCCCCAAAAGTAACCCTCCCCCTACTTGTATTTTAGCAGTGTATTTTATGGGCACTCCCAAAAGTGCATCTGCACAGTCTCCATCTGTTAGACACCAGGTCGGTGCATTCAAATAAAGTGGAAAAGGAAAATGCTTCACTTAAACAAAGGAAATCTGGAAAGTTTTTTTTTTTTTCCTTTTAAAATTATTCCACTCCCCTCTTTCTTTTTTTTTTTTTTTCTTTCTTCCCTTTCTTGTGATCACCAGGCCAGCAGAGGGGCTGTAACAACACTGCAGGTTGTAACCAGGTCACTAGTATCATTGCCTACCGAGTGCTGTCCAAGATTACATCACTCCCAGAAACTGTGTTTCAACCTACCACCCTCTGGCTTCATAACAGGAACTCCCTCAGGTGAGCCACAGGAACAGCGTCCTGTGCCGAGCTGGTAGGAAATCTCTAATGCTGAGACCAGGCTGATACAGAGCTTCCTTCCAGCACTGCCCTGGCTGTGACTTTGGAGAGAGCTCATTGCTCAAGGGACACCTCCCTTCCCTCTGCCACCTGACTCCATCCCTGGGGTTCTGCAGTCACTAACGCTACCAGATAAATGTTGTTGCCCATGTTGACCCGTCCCGATGCATTTGCTTGGCAATAGCTGTGAAAAAACGTTTTCCATGTTACCTTTGAATGCTCTTGTTCCTGTTGTGCCCGCATGCTGGTTGCAAGTTAAGGCAATGTGAAATAGCTAGAATCTGTAAAAACAGAAAGAAAATGCTGTTCTAGCAGAAACCAAATGACCATTCATTCTCAGCGGAAAGCATTTGATTTGGTTAAGGACATAAAATGTTTCTTTTTCAATACAAGTACAATATAAGTAGTAAGGAAATCTAGATTGCAGAGATTAGAAGGAATGGGGCACCTGGTAATAGCACTTGCCCTAAGTGAGCCTTTGAGATGCTACTCTATTTTTCATAATTGAATGAAAAAATGTTTTTGCTAAAGCAAGCTGATTACATGAGAAAAATGCTTATATCCCTTTTTATTTTTTTTCTCTTTTAACACGGATTATGCTGTATTGGTGTTTACATGTATTTATTTTATAAAGCCCCTCAAACCTAAGTCAGACTTTTCTGAACTTTACGTATATTTCTGGAAGACAATGCTTCCTACTCAATCAAGGCTTTTTGTCCTCGGCTTTATGACTTGGGAAATATTGTGGATTTCTTCTCTTTGGTGCCTCCTAGGAAGCCCAGCTTTGCCTACTGCATGCTGATCCCATTGCTGCAGTTACTTATATCTAATGATCCTACCTTGTTAAGGAGTGTGAAGCCAATTCCATCTCCCTTCTGTTACACCTAACAGCTGATATAAAAACAAATCAGTGCCGTTTTATTCATAGGAATTATTAAATCCATGTAAAACAGAGTAAAATAAGCCTATAGATTTTCTTATTCTCCACTGGTGGGTGTTTGCCTAAGGCAGCTGACACATTCAGGGCACTGCTCAGTGGTAATTTGTTGTACCCCGTTGAACCAGTGCATAATGTTTTTGTGTCCTACGAGCAAAGACTCGTGGACCAAATGTGTGAAGGTTGGCTTGAACAGAATGGTGGTGAGGAAAGTTAGAGCCCTTACCCAGACTATGTAAGAAAATGCATCTAATGAAATATAAGGGGACATCATTTTGGTCTCTTTTAATGGCCGTATTAACAGCTTCTGTGCTTATAGCTCAGTTCTTACATCTCCCGTGAAAATCATCTCTCAGACAGCAGTTATTGTCATGCTGACTCCCGCTACACCTCTGGGATGCTGAGTTGGCAGGGTTATCCACTCTGGAACATCTACGCAGCTCTTTTCTCCATTTCTAAACCTGTTCCTTGGTGCGTCCCTGCAGCGAAGGGCACTGGGATGAAGAAGGCTGGGGAGGTCAGCCTTTTCTAAATGAAGCACTCAGCATAACAATGTATAGGGAAGTGTGAAGTAAACCACCATGGGCTTTTTTGAGCGTGGTGTCATTTGTTTTCTCAAGGACACTGAGTAGGAAGCTGGAGAAACAGAAACTTCCTCTCTGGTGAGATTTATGATAGTGATTTAGGTAATAAAATGGAAAAGTTTATTTGTTGATTTCTTCACATTTGTGCTGCGCGCTGGAGCCTGCTGTTCCCGGGCCTCAGCTCTGCCCTGCGCACGGAGCGCGGCAGCAGCCTCTGCATCGGGGCCCTGGTTGTGTCAGTGGGCAACTGGAGAGCTGCGCTCCGTCTGTGGCCAAGCACCCCAAAGATCCCTTGCAGGCAGCAGGATCTGCAGATGAAGAAAACCTCTCACCACTGGCCCTCAGCTCTCTATATCTTCTGTGAGCAGCATGTGGTTTTTCAGATGAAAGCCCACAGCTTTTTGGCAGGTCTAAGTTAAATGCACAGGATTTCTTTGTCTTGCTAAGGTGCAGCGGGTTGTTAAATGCTGCCACTTCCCCTACCTCAATAGATCAGGACATAAGGAGTTCCACCCCCATGGCCCACAGCATCCTCCGGATCCTGTCAGAGATGCTACTGGAAGTGTTCAGCCTGTGGCCTGACCCACAGGCTGCCTCCAGCGCTGAAACACAGCAGCCTTTGGCTCAGTGAGTTGGATTTCTCTCCATCACTCTGCAGCAGTACGTGGCATGATGGAAATACATATCCTCATGTACGTTGTCAGAGGCATGTCGGGATTCAGTGTATGGCACACCAGGCCACATGTGTGTATGGACTTTCAATATGGTCTTCTGGGCTGGTCTGTCAGTGTGGTGATGTGCTTATTTGGGGTTACAGGCGAGATGAGGAAATAAGGACATGGCCGAACAACACCTGGGGTGCTGGGAGCAGCAGCAAGGCCTGTGTGAGGGGGTGAGGGCAGCTCCCAGGGCAGGGGTGTCTGGATGCAGAGGAGAGGCTTGGGAAGGGTGAGCAGAGCCAATGGGGAGTCTCCCGGGGCAGAGTGGGACACGAGAAGAACATGCAGGGCAGCTGCTGCTGGCAGCAGGGTCTCATCCTGGCACCGCACAGCCAGCTCCTGCGTGGCAGGGCTGGGGGCTGCCCGGGCCATCTGCAGGAGCCCAGCCGGGAGCCTTGGCCCCATGTTGAGGTGTCCGCAAGGAAACTGCAGCTTCCCCAAGGGAAAAGTGGGGAAATATTTCCACTCCTGCCTGCCATGCGCAGCTCCATCCACGGCACCCACCACTGGACCAGGGAGGCTAATCACGATGTGGCAGACGGGGCGCCTGCAGTCCTGGGAGCGGGTGAGGGCTGGACGTGGTGCCCGGCAGGACTTTGCTGCCTCTTGGCAGCTGAGAGGGGCTGCTCTTCCAGAGGCAGCTCTGTCTCCTTGGCCCGCGGAGGTGTCAGAGGGGATTAGAGCTGCTCTGCTGCGGGGCCGCTGCACGTGTGTAGAAGCGGGGCCACGGGAACTAGCCTCCTCTTGCCAGGGCTGTGAGCAGCAGCCCTGATCCCTGGCTGCTGAGGCCCTAAGTCTGGCAGGTCCGAGACCAGTCCTTGTGGGGGCAGCAGGCTGGGCAAGCCAGCTGGCAAGCGGCGCTGCCAGGGGAGAGCAGAGCTGTCCTCCATGACAGAGCTTCCCTCACTCAGCTCCGCCACGTAGCGCAGGCCGTCCCGCTGCGGCATGGCCGCCTCGGGCCCTGCGGCATCACGGAGCAAAGCTGCGTGCAGAGAGGGACGCCACGCAGCCCAAGCAAAGGCAGTGCTGTAGAGAGCGGTCCTGCGGGTCGCAGCTGAGCTGGCGGTGAGCGAGGTGTCCCCAAGATGGGGTGGTAACGGGACGCAGTCGAGTATGGCCACAGTGTCTGCCTCGCTGTTCAACCAGGAGGGCAGCTAGAAAACTGGGTTTCCTGCTGCTGCTTCTGTGGCTCCTAGGATCTCCTCTGCCTCTGTGAAACCTGCTGGCCCGCTCTGCATCCTTCGCTGAATACATCTGAGCCCTGCTCCCTTCCCTGAGCATCTCTCCCTTCCCCTGTCCTGAGCCCAGCCGTTTATCCCTGGGGTGTTTTCTAGGGTATTTTACTTCATCCATGCCTTACATTATGTCTTTCAGCCATGGTCACAAATTTTCCTGTCCTTTCCGTGCCTTTGTTTCTGAAACACTGTCCCCAAACACGGGGGCTCAGACATGGGTTATGATACGCAGCTGTTATCCCCACGCGACAATGAAGGCAGAGAGGATTGCTCCCACAAAAGGAAAATGCAGGAGTCATAAAGGGGTTGGGAAATTGCTTGCCCCAGCAGCGGGTGAGTAATGGGAGTTTTATGGCACCCTGCGCAGTGGTGGGGCTGCGAGGAAGAGGCTGCACGTGAAGAGGGACAGT